TATACTCTGTTATGTTCATGGTACTGCTCATGTCTATAGGCGACGGTTACCACTTTCCATCAGGTGAACCGTCAGCTTGTTTGCCATTCTAAGTTGTATAAAAAAAAAAACTTAAAAAAGAAATAGATTCCTAAATCAGTGGTATTTTTTAAATGTTTGTTACCTCATTAAACCGATTTCGAAAATTCTTCTGTTATCTCTTTGTTGAAGGGATATACTTATAGTTTGATCCAATAGAAATTTTATCAAAATAGGTCCAGTATTTAGATTTTAAACGAAAATACCTGGTTTTCTCACAAGGTTGTAGAGTTTTTTTGTGGGTGCTACGACTTGGTATTCGTGCATTTCACTCATACGTCTAGCGTGTCTTCAACTGTTATCACCTTTAATTTTTTTTCGATTGTTCTATCTCTACGCCCTACTTAATTCACAGTGCATTTTTTTATACTTTTTTTTAAATCATTGGTAATAATTTTATTCATTTAAATTCAGCAAAAATTAAGTATCTAATTTTGCTGGAAGAAATCTCTTATTAGAGATAAGCTCGCCTTTGTACATTATGTTTATAATGAATTGTGATTATGTTTTATGTACAATAAAGAATAAAGGAATAAAGAATCTTTAATTGTTATGATTATTTTAGTATTTCTATCAATTGTCTTAGTACCCATTTGTGCAAGATTTAAGTTGGTTAGATGCCATTATGTAATTTATTTAGCGAATTTATTAAAGCACAAAATTTTTGCCCGCTGCTTTGTAAGCGTTGTTTTGGAAGTAAATAAACCGATGAAGTAGATCAGTTCTGTAGCGGATCAATATACATTACATTTTAAGTTAGACCTTTAGGAACATAACCGACAAAACCGCATCTTATTTGGTGCAGTAGGTTTGGGTGATGCTGAAACAAACATACAGACAGACAAATACAATTTCTAAAAATTTTCGTCTTCCCGTATGGTCCCGGCATAGAATAGGCCACCTTTTACGTGGGTGTCGTTAGAAGCAATTAAGGGAGGACGGAAGATAAGCAGAAGCGTCCTTTTAAAACATGTCCAAAGCCTAACTGCGATTACCAATTCGCCTGTCAAGCGTGACAACTGACAGCAAAACCCCTCAATGAGAGGCTTATGTTCAGCAGTGGACAGTTAAAGGCTGATATGAACGAATGATTGTTTTGGCATCTTTTATTATCCATTTTATATTATCTAAATAGTATACACATTAATAGCACTCTTCCTCTCACTTTAAACATACACACACTCACACTGTTCACCTTCTCACACACCCACACACTGAACGTTACAGATTTAAAAATTTAATTAACTGTCATCTTCTAGGTAAACAATAATTTCTTTTTTTTTCCTTATTTATCATCATGTTTATTATGTTTGTAGCTTAATATTGTTAGTTCTGCATGTACAAATACAAAGTATTAGTTCTTGTGTGTTGGAAGGAACTGGTTTACAAGGCATAGGTTAGCCTAATTTGTAAGCTAGGGCAAAAAACAAGTAATTGTGCAACCCTGTATTTGTTAGTAGAGTTTATTATTATTATTATTTACAAGTCTCATTAAGACCGTACATATTAATTTTTCTTAAATATCTCCCATGTACAGACATAGTCTAGTTAAAATTTTATTATAAATTATATATAGTAAATTATATTATATATAGTACACTAGTATAATCTTTTATACTTAGATACGACTGTAATAAGACATAAAAGTAATAGAAATGAAATGACGTTTTTTTTGGACCATCTTGTATTTGTTTGTTTTATAATAACTTGGCGCTAACAAATGACTGATCTCCAGATCTAAGGAGCTCGGATTACAAGCAACAATGATCCATTGTCAATGGATTATATACATATCTTTGGAGGGAATGCCGTTTTTGCTCTAATGCACAAAAATGTACAAAGGAACGTGAAGCGAAACGAGACAATATTGTGGCGAGCAATTCCCGGCATAATGCTGAGACGTTATTGCAAGTCAGCTATTTTTCTGTGGATTAGTGCGCACGAACGCTGACAATCTGGTTTGTTTGCTGTCGCGTAACAACCGAATACGCACTTATAAATAGTAGTAAACGTATACCTAAATAAATATTATGAAGAGCGGCATGGAAATCATTAAATTCCTTTTACGAGTCACGTCATGTTTCTATGAGGAAGTTGTTTGTTTTCTCTTAGCGAATACTGCTTGTATTATATTGTGAAACATTAGCGGAAAAATTATAAATAATTTTGAGGCTCCCACGCTACCTTGAGAGTTCAACACATCGATCTCGTAAAAAGGGCTCAATACGTTTTGTCATTTTTCTTTCAGACATATGTCTATTTACTGATTAGTTGATTAAAATTACTTTGTTTAATTCCTCTATCATTAGTTTTCGTACGACTGCGAACATTCGAAGATTGACTACTGTTATTATTACCAGAAGTTCTACAACCTTCCATATTTGCTATCAACCTCCAACCGCTATTACGTTCACGCACATTTTGCGATACGTATTAGCTATAAATGAGGCATATAAAAGTAAATGAATAGATCACTGTTCGGAGCCTTGTGTTAATCATTTGGGGTCTAAACTGCGAATGACTCAATTTTTGTCGCCGTATTTATATCCTTTTAATAACATATGAGCAATAATAATGTAGACTAACCAGTAACATGAACTTCCGGAAAATAAAACCTAGTTCTTCGGTTTTTGGGAAAAATAGATAGATAGATACTCTTTATTGTTTCCTCCAAAAGATTACAATAGTAAACTTATTATAAATATAAATAATTACAAGAAATAAGCACAATGAGAAAACAATGGGCGACCTTATCGCTAAGAGCGATCTCTTCCAGGCAACCTTTGGTTGGAGAGGAGTAATTATAAACAATTTGGTAGGAGGCATGATGAAACATTTTGTTAGTTCTAAATATACAGTTTCTTCGATAAAACATTCTATAAAAAAATGCTAATGAACTCGATTTATCTTGTTTTGTAGTACCTATCTGTATTTTGCACGATGAGCTTTTTTGGTGATAATTGAATGGAATGGTAACCCCGCCTGCATTATCGGTATACGCTGATAGACTACCAAGAGCGATAATAAGTGTGGACGAAATCAGGTCAGTTGGCCCAGGTTTTACCAGGAATTAATAAAAATAGTTTCTTGTACGTTGCTAGCAAAGGAATCACTAGTTTACATTTCCAAAAACTTTTCCCAGATATTTTCAAAGCTTGAAGAATCACACTTGAGCCAATTCCATTTATTATATCTATAAAACATAATAAATTTAGGAAAGTCCATCAAAATTGATATCGTTGACAACTTGGAGCTATTTATAATCATTAATTATGATCAGTCTATTTCAATCCATATAATAGAAAGATAAACAAACGAGTCATTAACCTGACAATAGACTAGTCTAGACATATAGTCTGGTGATATTTATTGGTCGTATCTATCAAGTATCAATTAATGATAGATTGATAGAGAAAGATGTTAACATACAATCTATTAACAAGAAAATAATAGTAAAGACTTTGTACAAAAGTCGATTGATTGGGTACCTCTCTCCCATTCGTGTTTCAACCGTGAAACAGTTGTGTTTGCATGGCTGTGTTTCGGTTTGAAGGGTGGGATATGGCGTGAATTTACAGGGTACAGAGGAATAACACCTGAGTCCTCAGGAATGGCAACGCATGGGGGGTATCATGGGCGAGACAGTATACTCTATTATGTCCATGGTATTGCTCATGTCTATAGGCGACGGTTACCACTTCCTCAGGTCCTCAGGAATGGAAATATCTCGTCGTTTGTCGGTACATTCACGATTAAAGTAACTATTATTTTACTTTTTTTTATACAACTTAGAATGACAAACAAGCTGACGGCCCACCTGATGGAAAGTGGTAACCGTCGTCTATAGACATGAGCAGTACCATGGACGTAACAGAGTATACTGTTTCGCCCATGATACCACCCATGCGTTGCTATTTCTGAAGACTCAGGTGTTATTCCTCTGTACCCAGTAAATGTACGCCATATCCCACCCTTCAAACCGAAACACAGCTATGCAAACACAACTGCTTCACGGTTGAAACACGAATGAGACAGACAGTACCCAAGCAATCGACTTTTGTACAAAGTCTCCCTCTGGTAAAAGTCCTGGACGTGGAAAATCGTCGACATATATAATTTAGGTTGAATATATTCGAAGATTATCCAAGATTACAGGCAGTAAGTAAAATACTTCACGATTTTGCGCACGTATAATGATAGTAAGTATACAGTAGTACAACAAAAACAGTGGCCAAAGTATCTCGTGTGTGCGACGAGCGTATCAACTAGGATGATCTGTTCCTGACAGCACTCGCAAATGGACTCCGCGGTATTCAACCATTCAGTGGCAATCAACACAATTTCGCCCTCTTGAGTGGCACTACGCGAACTATACGAAGATTTCCCCCTTGGATGAGTGCTAATGCGTTTCCATAGAAGCTTTAGTGAGACATTTCAGAGAAAAAGTGAAAGTAGCACGCCCCTGGCATACTAATACCGCGAGGGCTGTAAGGGCGAGCTCTCACCAGGCACGTACAGCCGACGTAGACGTTGCATACGTAATATGGTCACATAGAGTTCAGCTCTATACCACAGCTACGTTTTAAACATGTTACACTAAGTTGGCTTACAGTGTGTGTTATTTCATGGCCAGATTTCCATCATAGTTTGATATTTGCAAGGAAAGTGTTGTTTATTAAATTGAACTGTATATGTGATATATGTATATGCTTGAAATACCGACAGCTGATGAAGAAATACAGTTCATAAATAGCGATATTTTTAAGAAAAATTTTTACAGATTGATTAGCTAGACAGAGGGATGACTCCAGATTTATTGGAAGCAGCTAATGGATGCGGGTGACTCAGGATCGCTCTTAAAGCAGATGTAAGTGCTTTATATTATTCTCAATTTCGTGTATAATATAGTATATATAGAGATGGGCAATCCACCTGGGTGGGTTTAAAGTCTGGTGGGTAAAAACCGGGTGTTTTGGGTTTATTGGGTTTAAACCCCATAAACACCCAAATTTTTGGGTGTTTATGATTTTGTACTTCATCATCGTCATCTCAGCCGCAAGACGTCCACTATACTGGACATAGACAATATTATTATGCAGCCTACAGAATAAAAAACTTTTAATTTGATTTTGAGTTTATTAAGAAAGAGATGAAAGTAAAATGTAAAACTACAGTCAATCACTGTCAGATTCAGAGTTATTACAAGCGATGAATTGTATAGGTTCGATAGGCTCTATTTCGTCTAAACTGTTATGTTCATTTACTTGCTCAATGAAAGCTTCTAAGGTATTTTCTTCATTAAACTGAATGTCCTCGCATTCAGCTTTATGTTTAAGATTCCAGTTATAACAAATGAATGAAATTTTTTCAGTTCTTTCAGTTGTAAGTCGATTTCTTTTGTTATTATGTATGTAGCCTTGGATACTAAAGGAACGCTCAATGGCTGCCGAAGTACAGGGAGCTGATAGAATACGAATCGCTACTTTGCTTAACTCAGTGGAACCACAAATACCTTTCCACCATATTAGGGGCTCAATGCTATCTAATGAGCTCCATACAAATCCTCTGGCCCAAAAGTTTTCTTTAGCTTTATAACACGCCAAATCTGCCATTACATTTGACAAACTTAAGTGTTGGCTTAAATTGTAGATAAACTCCATACCCTTAAGTTCTTCCTCTTGAGTAAGTTCGACTCCTAGAGTCCTGGGGTCTAGAATATATGCTGCAAAATGTATTGGCCTCATTGCCATATTGCATCTTGAAGATACTGATGTTAGAATCTGCTGTTTGCTTTCTTCGCTCAATGTCGAAATCTCATTTAATGCAAAACGTATCTTAGCTTGTACATCTCTAAATGTAATGTATGTGCGATGCAAACGATTCTGGTCGCTCTCTAAGTAAAATATGCTTTCAGTGACTGGTTCCAAAATACTTATACATTCCCCTGTCTTCGTCCAGAAATCATCACTTAGAATTAAATCTTTAATATCTCTTGAAATTACCACATCTTCTCTAACTGTTAATATTTGCAAAGCTATCTTATTTGCTTTCAAACTTTTTAACGAAGTAACATGACTTCCCCATCTTGTAGCACAAGGCAATTTTAGTGTTTGTGTAGAATCTTCACCCTGCCTTGATTTTATCAACAAGGAACTTAATCGTTGACTCCTTTTAACAGTTTTTATTATATTTATGGCTTGCATAATAAACACAGTTACTTCTTGTATCTTTACAATATCTTGGCACAACAAGTTAAGGATATGTGCACAGCAACCGAGAGGAACAACATGTGGATATTTGAGTTTTGTTAATTCGAATGCCTTTTGTATATTTCTAGCGTTATCGCCAATAAGTACAAGAAACTTATTTGCTCCATACACTTTCATTACTTTTTCAACTTCTTGGCTAAGGTATTCACTAGTGTGAGGATTACTTTCTGTATTCAAACTTTTAACGTATGCAGGTTGAGGTTTTGATATAAGAAAGTTTATTATTCCTTCATTTCTTAAATTAGACCAGCCATCGCACTGAAGGTGTAAGTAACTACAAGCATTTAGTTCCTCATTTAACTCAAAACGCATTTCTCTATATATTTTATCTAAGTATTTTGTCGCTAAAGCTTTACGTGAAGGTATTTTAAATTTTGGTTGCAATTTTTCGAAAAATTGTATCCATAAAGGATGTTGCACCATCGATAATGGCGTCCCTGTTACAAATATAGCTCTCGCTAATTCTGTTTTTATATGATCATCGGTGTCTTGAAACTCAGCATTTATTGTAGTGTTAGCAGACGACGAGGGGCTTATAAAAGAATCATTTGTCTCTATCTCTGACAGTCCAGACATTTTGGTTTTGGACGAGCTATCTTTTATAAGTTTCATAGAGTCTTTTAATGTTTCTGGAGATTTTGGACAAGTGATAAGATGTTGAAGCATTTTGGCAGCATTACTGAATTTGTAGACCTTATTACAAAGCTTGCAAGAAACAGACTTGTTTGGTAAAGTACGGTAGTGCTCCCATATGCGTAAATCTTTAGGTCTCCCCATTGAACCTAAAAAAATGAACGATGATTAGTTGGTCTGACGAAAATTCAACAATAGAGTGCCTATTTTTTTACAATGATTATTTCTTGTTATTTACAATAAATTTATTAAAAAAATAATAAAATAAATACAAAAAACCTTTGTAAAATTATTATCGTATTGTTCTGTATTTTTCTCAGCAACTTCTTTAATTCGATTAGGTACTTACGCATATTATGTTAAAAATAAATATCTAGTACACATCTTAGGCTATCCACCATTATTATCCAATGACGACTCTCAGCTAACTATGCACTATCATCCAAAATAAACGTGTATGGAAAATTTTATCCCAGTCGGTTGAGGATTGAGGATAATTGCATCAACATACGAACATACCTACATACTTTTATTTACATAACGCAAGCTAAATAAAAGCTTGTAATAATACATCTAATTTTAAGTTAAAATTGTTAAGTGATCATGATATAATTGTATCATTCAAAAATCCACTTACCTTTAATTATTTCTTGTTAAGTATAAATATTATTTCAAATCTGCTCCCTTAATATGCACTTTTTTACTGCTTTTCCTACCTAACACGTTACCAGGAAGTCACGTTACCAGAGTCAGAGTAATAGTGAACACGTTTGACAGTGATTGTCGTCGCCTCATATTCAGCGTCGACGAATAGGGGAATCCCCAGTCATAATGTATTGCATGCGTGGCGGTCTTACTTCAAATCCATAAACAAAGAGATAATTACAGAACTCGATACTAGATGGCGCTGTTTTTGTTTGAAGAAAGTTTGCGGGCTAAAATACATAGAATTTCATCAATGACTTCCACAAAGAACAACATTTCTGTTTTTTCTAAGTCCGTATCTCTTCCGTATATTTCATAAGATATAAGCTTGGGCTACATTGTTATGCAACGTGATTTTGTCGCTGTCTTGCTAGCAGGGTTGACAGATATACGATTTAAATCGTACTCATACTATTATTTGTCTATTTTTTAATGTACGATCGTAAAGATTATGATCGTAATTCGCACAAAAACATACGACTTTTTGGTTACCTGGCAACATTTTTATTATGAAACGAACATGCTCACATCATCAGTCACATGCAACAATTTATTGGGGATTTCCCCTTCACATCTGGCAGTCCTGCTTGCTAGAATATAGGTAAGTCAGCCACAGTTACTGACGATCGATATTTAAAGGGTATTGTTTTTGTGCTAAATATTTCATAAAAACGTTATTTAATACTTTGTGGATTATTAATTTAGTTGATAATCACTGGAAGTAAAATGGATGCTAATTTGAGAGATCAAGATCTTCGTATAAAACAGTTAATAAAAGAAAATCTACGTAAGTACTCTTTTTATACCTAGGTAGGTAAGGTATAATAAACACAAAAGGTACTTAGATCGCGTGTGTTCGAAGCATTTATTCTAATAAATTTAATTTAAAATTGTAGAAAGAAAAAAATGTCTGCCAAGCCGTAGCCGAAGCCGATCTCCAAATATATTTGGCGATAGTGAGACCCAGTGTCCAGATGATTTACCCAGCGTCGTCGCAACAAAGAAAAAAACGAGGATAAAGTAAAAGAAAATTTACTGAAAGAAGAAACAAACTGTTCTAAATGCTTAATTTATGGAGAAGAGGATAAAAGAAATGAGTATTTCGGACTGTTAGTGGCTCAAGAATTTAAATATATACGGCCATGTGTGCGAACGAGGTGTTATGAAGAAATTTTAAAGTATCTACGGGAAGCAAAAGGCCAACATGTTGATCAACTGCAACATGAAAACACTGAAAATTAATTACTTTCATTTTATTATATATAGATTTTTAAAATTTCCTGAAATATTATTAGTTAACGTTTTATTTAATATTGTAGAATTGATCAATACAATTTATAAAAATAATTTATTGGTATTACTTACATATTTTCAAAAAAATACGTAAAAACCTATTTTTTTGGGTGATTATGGGAGTTTATGGGTGTTTATTGGGTTTTTACCAAAGCACCGGGTTTAAACCCGGTGCTTTGCCCATCTGTAAGTATATATCATATATATGTAAGTATATTTGTTTTCATATATATTTATTCGTTTATATATGTAATTTTAGTATGTATGTATATCAATAATTAGTAGTACCGCATTCGAGTATTCTGACACTTCCCTATGGTTGACTGGGAGAGAATGCTTTTAGCATTAAGTCCACCATGTACACATATTTGTACTAATGAATAAATAAATAAAATAAATAAATGTATAACAGACTGTGGGTAGTTGAAATACTGATGATGTACATGCATATACCTTATGTCTGTATGTAGGAAACAACATACCTTAAAATATTCCGGATCCAAAGAGAGCTTTTTCATTTTCTACATGTTTATCAAACTATTTATACAGTGTGAGAAGAGAGTTCGTTATACTATGTTATTTATACATTCCCTTTGTGGGTTACGAGTATGTTAAACTTGGCCCTTTCGGTGGAGGTAGGCGAGTTATGTATATTATAAACCTAAAATAACCTACGAATTACTCAGAAGCAATAAAGCCTAGTAATCCTCTGCTGGCAACTTTGTTTAAAGTTCCTCCAATTGTCTATTTACATATGCTAAGCTCCTAAGCTCGGATGGATAACCAGAGTGACTGTAGGCAAAAGAAGACTATCAATCATATTTATATGTCATTAATATGATATCCAGTGTTCAGCGCAGCCCATGTTTCCCTAACTCGGATTTGTGTAGTGAATTAGTAACGAGGGATTCGCGTGATCCCAGCTTTGGCAATTATAATACCAAGTTCAACGACTTGTTGTATTTGTGTCTACACATGAAGTGAATATACTTTATTATCTAAATATCGTGGCAACTAGATGGCGAAAGCTGGTTGTTTGTGGAGCTATCTCGCCACTCTGCGTAAGACAACAAATATGTTTGCCTGATGCGCAGCGGAACTTCTCACAAACAATGCTCGTACGGCAACCTTCCATCGCGGAAACATGTTTGTTTTGAAAATATTTTATATTCTTACTAGGAAGATACTTTTAATACGAAATAGATGATAGCGTGATGTTGTATTCGTAAAGTTAAGTTAGTACCTGTATCCTGCGGCTTTACCTGACGGTAACCGTTTATTATCAGGAGCATTACATTACTGATTGTTTTTTGTTTGTTTGTTTTGTTTTTGTTTTTCACGTTGCTTCACGCTTGAAATACGAATGGGACAGAGGTACCCAAGCAAACGTCTTTTGTACAGTCTCCCTCTGGGCGTGGTGAGTTCTACGTTTATTATTACGGCAACACTCCTCATTAGAATTGTAAGCGTATTTATTTTCATTTTATAAAATAAAATAAAATCTCTTTTTATTAATTTTCAATGACCGTTTACGCAGCTATAATGGAATTAACATGAAATTAAAATTTAAATGTGCATTAAGAATTAATACAGTTTCTCCATGCTAGCAAACTCAGTGAAACGTCGAAACTGAGTAATAAACATGAAATAAATAAGTAACTAACTGCAAACTAATCTATACAAACACTAATTTGGCGTTCCACAAATTGTAAGTTCTCTCTCTACCACGAAAAACCACATGTCGAACAATTAGCAGCGCAATTAAAAATACAGATTCGAGCCGATTTGGAAAATTACGTTTCTTGAATTATTTGTGAATAGACACATATATGGCTGTAATATATATATATATATATATATATATATATATATATATACGGCCGTGTGGTCCCGGCATAGAATAAGCCATCCCTTCCTTTCCCGTGAGTGTCGTAAGAGGCGGCTTAGGGAGCTTATGGCGGAGAGATGGGTAGCGGTGTCTCTCTTAAAACATCTCTAAAACCTAACTGCAGTTGCCAACTCGCTTGTCAAGCGTGGCAGCTACTGGCAAAATCCACCAAGAGGGAGGCTCATTATAAATTAAAATATGCCATATGGATATATTGTGTGAAATATGATATGGCCAGAATGGGAGTGAATGCGGAAATGACTGCGGATAGAGAAGAATGGAAGGAAAAAACATATTACGCAGACCCCAAATAATAATTAAAAAATAATTAAGATAAAAAAAAACTCACTTTTGCATTTTTAATATTAGTAAGGATGTACGCAATCGGTTTGAGACTTTATCTTTGGTAAAAATTGTAAGTGCACAGAGTAACATGCTAACCAGAAACATCACGAGCTAATGAAACAACAGTATTTGCTGCTCTTGCCACAGTGTAAAATTATAAGAACTAAAGTAGTGAACAATATTTAAAATGGGGGGAAAGGGATTGTTAGCAATGGAGTTTGGCAGCCCCATTGCTAGCAATATGTTTTATTAGGTCGACTTCCACGTGGTTCCCCCTGGAAACCATCGTGAACAATTCTTGTTGAATTCGTCACGATGGGCTAACTGACCTACTTCATCCTCACCTATCATCCTTCACAGGTGCCCCGCCTGTGTATATCGATAGCGCGGGTGGGCTTACCATTCCATTATCATCCATTAAAAAATAATATATTTAAAATACATTAACTCCTACGTACTGTGCCCAATAGGGTTCATAATTGAAGTTGAAATGTTATGTACCAACCACATTATGGAATGTAATAAGAAATAAATAAAAAATAAACATGTTAAAATACAAATAAAAATTATGTATGTCTATTTTCTTTTTGAAAAAATTACGATTATAATATATTAATGAAAATAAATTTAAATTGCCAATCGTTTTTTTGATGACACATTTTTTATTAGTTAAATTATAATAGAATTTATGATAGATTTTGATGTAAATTATACAATATCTTAAAGGTCAATTATTGAATTTAAAATATATTAGAAGGGGAAGGGGGGGGGGATTTGAAATGTTGGCTTGGTCATTTAAAAGGAGATAAGGTTGCGTCTGTTATATTTATTGTAATATATATCGATTGGTGTTTTGTCGAGGAATTAATATTTTATTTATTGTTATTGTTTTTTTTTTTTATTAAAATGATTATTATATATGATTACATAGTTATAAGAAACACATAACCGGGAACTGCGTACCGCGCACGTGCGCTGTCGACGTCAGATAATTCGACCATAACTCATTAGTGCGGTGGATGGCGCGAGCAAATTACCAAATTACCTGCCCCCCACACAAATCAAATTAATCGCTGAATAATTCGCTGCCAAGTGTCCTATCTACGGTTGCCATTACACAAATTTCATGTAACGAAACGGGTATTATGTGTCGTCAGATATCAGCCCGGCTCACACAGTTCATTGGTAGGGAATAATGCGGCAAAGTAATGCTTCTACCCTTTTTTTATTTTCTTTTTTCTCCTATCCTGTTATTATTATGTTTACCTAATTTCTAGATAGTATTTGTGGGCTGACAGTGCGTTGAAAAACCGCTTGTGAAACGATGGTAATGAACATTTATATTAAACAATAGTGTATCAAAAATTTTTTTAATCATATATTTGTAGCAGAATTCTTTAATTTTACAATTTAACAATATGTTAGAAAACTTGTGTATCCAGTATACACAAGTTTTCATTCATCATCCACTATCACCCGTGGCATACTTGATTGTATACATACAATACAGTGCACATCAGTATGTGCACTGTACATACTGTACTGTCTGTTTTAAAACGTGTTACAATACAGTTATTGTAACACGTTTTAAAACACAAAATACTCCATTCTCATATATTTATATCTTAAAAATGCTGTTCTCATTTCAATTGTCAGTAATTATTTTAGGTTTTGAACAGACATTTTAACAATTTAAATTTGAGTAGAAATTAATTTTTAAAATTTAATTTTGCACAGAACAATTACGAATCACGAAAAGGAAATTCAATAAGTCCAAAAGTCGAGTTGACCTCTACATTAATTGTTCGGCTAAAATATTTTCAGTTTCCATTCATTTAATGAGTAAAGAATACTTTCGTAGAATAAGAACTAACGTTCTCCTTAGATCTAACGTTTAATTAATTGTAGAACTGTTCACCGACGCTAGAACATCCTTTCAAAGATGGCTTTAATTAAATGCATTTCATCTTTTAAGATCGCATTGTCATTATAGAGAATAATTAATAAAACAGAAGGAGCCTGCTGCGCTCCTTATAACGTCTGTCTACGCTTCACACAGCTTATATTAAAAAGTTCAAGTGACAAGTTTAGTATAGACTGTGTACATCAAGATGTGAAAACTAGTCGTAAGAAAATACGTTCAGCAGGCTTTCACAGGGCTACGGGATTCGCTAATTATTTATTAGGAGGGTCGGGTTCCAGTTTTAGGACTTTCATAGTGAATACACTAGAACACCTTTTGTACTAAACATTTTTTTGTAATGCAGTTAATAAAGAATAAATATAAATATTTAACCTATTTTGATAATTGGCCGGCAGCACACCTGCAATGCCGCTGGTGTTGTGGGTGATCATGGGCGGCGGTAGTCACTTACTATCAGGTGAGCCGCATGCTAGTTTGCTCCTTGTGTTGTAAAAAAGTAATAATAATAATTGTATACTTTTTAAAATAAAAAAGATGACGTTACCATTTTCTTGATTTCCTTTAAAATTAGAGTCAGTTTTTGTAAAAGTATCGTCGTCAATACCATCTACCAATATTACATCCAACATTGGCACAATTTTAATACTATTCTTTGTGTAAATCGCAGAATTGTCCACTTTTTCTGGATTCTGGATGAATCCACTTCGTCATAAATGATTGTTTACTGCTAAATATGACTTTCCCTTGGGGGTTTGCCAGTAAATACCACGTTTGACAGGCGAGTTGGCAACTGTAGTTAGGATTTGTCTTAAGAGGGACATTGCTGATCTTTCGACTATTAAATTCCCTTAGTCGCCTCTTACGACACCCACAGAAAAGGAAGGAATGTCCCATTCTACGCTCGGACCATACGGCATAATTCCACTTACGGACTATATATTTGTTTAGTTGTTATTTATTTGTGTCTAAACTTATAAACATGCAATTTGATATATCTAACTTGTCTACATTTCCGGTAA